AGTTCAAACACATAACTATTCATAGACTAATTAAAGATCTTCCAGTTCATCTATGAAAAAACCTTTTTTAATAATACCACAGCACCAGGAAGAAGCAAGCTCATTCTTACCCAAAACATCATCTGATAGTTGCTGCCAATTCCTGATGACCTAGGGTCTAATCTTAAAAAAGGTGAGTACATATGTATGTGGATGGAACTGCACGTCTAATTTGAATACAAATTTATTAGAACTGCATATACAGATTAGATATTTGTATATGTGTAAACCTAGAGAATTGTCTATCTGTACCGCCAAACACCAAAGTTTCATGCATAGTCCCTTTACATACTTTGCTTACTATTCTTTATAATACCTATTCCCTTTTCTAGTAGTAAAAATGCTAGTACTTGCATAAATGGTGGTATACATTTTGTTATGTACCAAATATTTTAGACCAACATTAGGGTAAACAGATCCCTTAGTCTGGGTGGACACTTAAACAGGTATATTGTACATCCTGTCACAAAAAGTATTTTTCAAGCTTCATTCTAGTAGCTTTATTTAATGTTTTAGAACAAAATTGTATACTTAATAACACAAATCTTTATTCTCTTTATCTAAAAAACCAACTAAATTGTATTGGCTTGAGCCCTTAACAGCTACATTTAACATTTTTATATATCATTAAAATTTTATAGGTGACATATCAGGAAAAATTAAATCCAGCAGCGATGTTGTCTTGAAAGAAAAACATGCCTTCATTATAATGAATGAATTTGTGTGCTAGGTATGAATGCCAGTGACCTTTAGAAAATGAACTGCTGACCCAGAAACTGATGAGAATCAGCTAGAGTAAATGAAGCAGAAGACTTCCCCTAGTTTAACGGGGTTTGCTGGCAGAGCAAATTCATTTTACAATTAAAAAAGATAGAGTGGTCAGCAGGGACCATTTAATGGGAACAAACATAGAACTAAATCATTTAACCTATTTTCCAGACCCTTTCTTCACGGAGCTGTTACAATGCACTTCGGTGCATTAAATGATGGACACATACATTGCATATAATTGGTCTACTTCCTGGGTCATTTTGAATGACTTTTAGAGAGAATTTGCTTATAGTGTATGTGTATGCTTATAAATATGGAGAATATCAACTGACGTCTCTTAGTACATGGTTTCTTTGCATGGGAAATGCTTTGTTAAGTGCAGATATTGTTAAGGTATCCAGTCTAATTAAAGATAAAAATTGCATTCTACTAAGTAAGTTGCATTTGCTCTCCCAACTAAATGAAAAATGGCCTGAGAGTAAGTTGTAAAGGGAACATTAACTCTTTCATTGCCCTCTGTCAGTGAAAGTTCTTGCTTTAGTGACTGTGGTTTTTCTAATATGTGTTTTTATAAAATGATTTATGATATTATTTGGTTGCAGGAGGACTTTGCAACAGGATCTTAAACCTCCAGGAATCAATTATTACTTCCTGGTATTATCTTGTCAGGATGCATCAACAATATATTCTTGTGCATGTAAATAGGATTTATCATTTCAAATAACATTGCAGAGTAAATGGAAGGCATTGTATACTAATGGTCTAATTAGAAAACAGTGAGACAGGGGCATAGGTTCTATTCCTGACTCTGTTTTTTGTATGATCTTGAACAAGTCAGGAAAACAGTTAAATCCAGCACAGATCTGTGAAAAGTGCTCAAATTCTGAGGGAAGTCAGTTAATCATGTGCTTAAATTTGAACATGTGCTTAAATTATCTCTCTTAAAACCACATTGTCTTCATCTGAAAAATGAGGATGACAAAACGTATTAGCTTTGAGTAAATTATTATCATTTAAGTCTCTTTTTTTCATTTATGGAATGTATGCAACATTGCAGTTTTCTCAGATTTAGTCATTACGCTATATATGAGATATATAATGTAATATTGAAATGATTAAAATGGAGTTCTGAATGTCTACAGTGAACTGGGTGATAATTTCATCCAGGAATATGTTATATGTAAATACATAACACATATAATACACAAACACACATATAAAATACATATATTATGTATAAATATAATCTTGGATGAAATTATCACCCAGTACATTGTGGGCATTCAGAATTCCATTTTAATCATTCCAAGTGGTGTTACTTAGCTGTGATTAATTAGACACTCTACATGGGGCATTGTTTCTGTTCGTTGATTATATGTGCATGCATATTCTTCTGTGAGAATTATTTGCAGTTATAAAGTAAAACTACCATGAATGCAACTTTGAAATTCATGTGTGGTGCACAGCCAATCAATTTTTTTCTGTCACAAAGGAATGTTCTCAGAAAGCTCAAAAAAAGAAAAGAGCGTAGGGTTTGCAAGAAAAAATAATTTAAGCAGCGCAGAAGATATCTGTGGAAGATTTGGTACAGTATTTGCCCAATTCTATAATATGCCTTTATGAAGCACTTCAGGATCTTTTGGTGTATTATTATTCTTTATCATCACAACCCTACTAACTGCACATTTATTATCTTTCTTTGTATCTTTTTGTTACCCTCCCTTCCCTTTCTAAACCTCTCTGGTTTTATAAAACTTACTGGGGTAATATTAGCAATACTCTACCAATAAAGTATTTTCAATAGCCATGAAGAAATGAATTATGAGCTTTGTGAATATAAAATTATGTAGACCAAAGACTGATGCCAAGCAACATCAGTGAAAAAAATTAAGGCTATTTAAACATGTGAAAGAAGCCATATAAGAAGGTAAACAGGAAATTAGAAACAAAAGTCAAAGAAAGAAACTGTCAGCTACTCTGTATAGTGCCTAGTGTGATGGGGTCCAAATTTTGGCTGCTCTGTAGCTAGCATAATAAACATAATAAATAATTACTGAATTGTTCTGATTATACTTCCACTTTTTTCTCTTCAAAAGAATTATAAAAGCCACACTCCACTTATATACAGGTTGATCTATAATTGCACCCCTCCGATTTTGACTTATGCACTTGAAATATTTTGTGCATGCAATAAAAAGCAGGTTACATTTTTGGTGCATAAAAACCTTTTGGTGCATTTTTCATTTGAATATTTTTAGGGAATTAGAAATTTTGGGTTAGTGCACCTTAGTAATAACCACAGAATCTCTTGTGGAACAATAGCTTTTATCTGTAGAATCAGCTTATTCAGGGACGAAGCTGTTTTTCCTAAAATTGAATCTAAAAATAGGGTCATTTGATATGCAGAATAGTACCATATATAGGGCTGCTGACATTTTTGCTGTATGTGAAAGTCATTACATGCTATATTCTGATACCTTTAGTCACACTGATTAGCCTATTGGCATAATCGAGAGCACTTGTTGAAATTCATACTGTTCAGCATGAGTAGATTATTAGACTCTACCTATATACAATTAAAATAGGAATGTATTTTTACACCCACAGAGAAAGACAAGTAAAGAGAGTGAAATTTCTAAGAGATGAGATGTGAGCAATTTAGAATAGGGTAGATGGATAATTTTGGTACTGATTCTTTTTTTTCCATTAGGCCTGCCATGCCAGACAAGGAAAATTAGTTTTACAATATGAAGCCAAGATGAGTGGCCTAAAAACTCACTGCCCAGTTTGCAGCCTGACTCATGTTAAGAAACCCGTATGTGAGTGATCCCACTAAAAGTCTGTGGGGCTACCTGCTTGAGTAACTTCTACTCAATGTAAGGGTTGCACAAACTACAGCTTATGCCAAAATTTATTAGTGACATTCACTGCATTCCCAACCTGCTAGGGAGACAAACTTTCCCCTCCCACCAATTGATCATGTGATCCTATGCTTTGTTCTCCTTTTTTGCAGGGAAAGCTTAGTCATGCTTAGCAGCTCCATTACCTTAATGAACATGAACTAGTTTTGGTCACATTGCTCTAGCTTGCTATCTGCTTTATCATTTGCAGCTCATAATAATCTCCTCTATAGTTGAAAACTAATTCCTTGGGATTTAGTAGACAGCTCTGAAAATTCATCCCAGACTGTAACCTGCAGGGTAGAACATCAGCGTATTGTGACAGCAGGGAAAGTAATAAAGAGGAGAACTTTCAGATATATAAATAGACTGGCTATGGAATTTAATTAGACATGGCAAAGCTTAATAACACACTAAATGAATTTGGTCTACTACTTCACAAAAATAGTATATAGTAAATCATTGGTGAAACCTAAGCTGGTAACCTCACTTTACCACAAATGACTCATACAAGCAATTTACCAGTACTATTTTAGCAGGCTGCTTCCAAATTGTATTTTGTAATAATAACTTCAGGTGGCATATTGTGAGATACTGTACATATAACAAATGACTATCTGTTATGATCTATTTAATATGTTGCTATATATAAACTGTGTTCACTTGATCTTTTTATTGATCTTCTCCTCGAAGATAAACAGGTTATGAATATTGCATGTAAAGCAAAAGCACATCTAACAATTCTCCTCCATAAAATTCTCTGTCAAGATACCTAGTTCAGGTTGCAGGGCAATTAATTAAATATGTATTGGCATAAACCCACTATAATTTTCCAGTTATACAGTGGATTGTTAATTCTTTGCTTTGCTGTTCCTCAAAAGAAGCAAATGAGGACATGTTCTGGCTTTCTAATAAGATTTCTGTTATCTTAATAGTATTTGTTTCATGTCAGAACATAACACAACCGACATAGACAGCTGCATAACAATATAAAACAGATGAATTAGAGGCCAAAAACATTGTCACAAGAGTGAGGAGACAGAGACATTTGCTATAATAAAACATAATACAGTTATAATGAAATTGTCAATGATGATATACAGGTAGTAAAATAGTTTAAATATTAGGATACAAACACCTCAGAAATGATCCCATTTAATCTTAGAATGTTTCACACTTGTTAAATCCTTTAAATAAATAGGAATGCACTCAGATACAGATCTGTTAGTTCTCATGATAGAGTGTATTAAGGTATTTAATAATTCCAAATTAATAATTCATGTTACTTACATGAAAACTGAAAAGGTCTCCCTCCGAGCCCGCATTGTCTAACACGCTCCCCATAGAAAAGCCCATACTGAATTTCACCAATAAACTTCTCCAGTTCTTGTCCTGTAGCATTGACGAGCAAGGCTCCAGTTTTGCAGAGTATTGTTCCTTTTATCCACAATTGAGTCCCGATAGCTGCTGCGATGCATAGAGCACAAGCAAAGCTCAATAACCCAGCTACACAAAAAATGACTTTCTTCTGCTGGGCTGGCATGGCTGTATGGAAAGTCCTTTAGGAAAGGAACAAAACTTTTAACAAGTGAACAAAATGAGCTTCATCATATCAGCAAGCTAGTCATGCTGTCCAAACAGAGCACTGTACTTTCTCCTCAGTTATAGCCCTCTCCTTAGAGACTTTTAGCAGCATGCCAGTACTAGATACATCTATCCCAAAATAAGCTGTTAAATTTCTTTTCTTTCTCCTTTTTCTTCCTTAATAATCGTAGTGTACATACAATGTTTTAAAATAAACTGTAAATTAATACTGTTTGCAAGAGTTTTTCAGCATATCTTCTGTGTCACTTGATAACAAAGGTTTAAGGTAACAGATGGAACCCTCTGTGTAATTTGATGAATGCCTCCACTCTTTCCAGCCCTTTGTCTGATTGGATGAGCTGAAAATTCCAGAAATAGAATTGGATGCCATGTTCAGTTGTCATATATCTAAGGAATAACTTCTTTAGGTGGTTTAGGTTTTCCAGTGATCGTCATAAAAGCTAGCAACATAGAGCACTTCAGATTTTTTTGTCTTTATTTCTAGTTCAGAGACTCCAAGGAATTAATACAAAGACTAAAGCAGAAGGCCCTGTTTGAAATATCCTGTTACCTATGGATACTTCCTTTTCCCCATCAAGATAGCCTTCAAGACAAAGGCAGAAAGTTTGTTGTATAGTATTTTATTTAGTTAAAAGTATGTGACTGGATGATGGTATCTAAGTGAAGTTTGGATCATTTGAATTCAGGTTTCACTTATAAGCAAATACATTTCTGTTTGTTTTACTATAACAGATGCTATGCAACACCTTACTTGAAAATATACACTTCTCATAGTGTTCCATAGTAAGCCCTTACACAGAGGATAAGTACATAGTCAAAAAAGCTGGAGGCTGAATTGATTCAGTCTTTGCAGGTTACTCTAAGCTGCAAAGATTGAACCAATAAGCAAATGAACAGACATTCACTTGTGATTCAGGGAATGCAGCCACATGCCTGCAGGGGCTAAAGCCAGAAGTCAGGGGGTGCTAGAGCACAGCTCTCTGGCATGTAGCCAGCATGGGCTGTGTTTGCTTCCTATTTCTGCTGCCCCTGAGGTCTCTGGGATTTGCTGTCCACACTCACACCAGCAGGACTCTGCAGGGTTGGTCATCACTCCCTCTTCCTGCTTCCAGGTGCCTTTGGGATTTGTAGTCCACAGTTACAGTCAGCACTAAGTAAGCCAGCAGAACAGGGCAGCTCTGTACTGTAAGTTTAACCCCCCTCCCTGGCCCCAGATCCCAGCTGGGGTTTGCCTGGAGGGGGCCAGTGAGGCCAGTGCCCTCACTGCCACAGCTAGGTAACAGAGGGGTGGGGCCAGCCCTGTTCTCTGAAGCAGACAGCCAGCATGCTGTGGGACTCTGATTTAACTTGAACCAGGAAGGGGTCTTGGACAGAAGTTTCATAAACCAGTTTGACCTAAACCAGTTAAGTCTGATACTATATTCAACCAGGTTTCTCTTAAACCAGTTTCAGCCATTTTGAAACTGGATTATAGGCACTGAGCTTCTGTTCTGTTATAGGTTTAAACCAGTTTCTGATCACTTAAACCAGTTTATGTGTAACTTCTGTCCTTAGCCACAGAAGTTACACAGCTAGGATGCATTCATGCAAATTCTATGCTTAGGTGCTCCAACATGTAAGTTGAAATCACTGGAATTAGACATGTGCATGAAGATAAGCATGTTTTAAAACAGAGGTGGCCATCCTGCAACACGCATGCTACAAGTTGCACTGGAAGCCTCTGTATATGTTAGATCAAGAAGAGGGCAGGCAGCATAGCAGCTGATAGGGAATGAAGTATAAAACAGATCAGCAGATGAGGCAGGGAGCAGAAAACAGAGTAGCAGACTGGGCAGAGGAAGGGGATCTGAGTGGCACTCTGGGAAGGTGGGGCTAATTTGTGGGGCCACAAGGCCTATGGAATCAGAGCCTTGCCTAGGACCAGGAGCATGGGTGAATCATCTAGAGTATAGACAAACAAACCAACGAAGAACAGCTGGTTAAAAAAACAAAGGGATTCACTAACTCCTCTCTGGTAACTGTCCATTTGCCTGATCTTACCCCTTAGTAACTGAAAGCTAAATCAAGGCAGCTTTCTGCCTAACAGGGGTTTAAATTTGACTTCCTGAAGAGTAAAAGTCCTCTCTCCCTTTTAACCTTCTGTACTTTGCTATTGTTCATGCCCGTAGGGTAGTTTGCTGACTGACCCATCTCTCTTAAACTCACTTTGTAACCCCTTGAGGGCCTGCCTATATTGAAAAATTTAATCAGTTTAACCAAACTGATTTAAAACGAATTTGGTTAATTGAGTACAAATCCCATGTCTGGATGCTAGAACCTTTGCTTAATATTGCCTTATACTGATTAAACTTTACTTTACTCCTGTACTGGTTTAACTAAACCAGGGTGTTGGGGCACGTTGAGGTGCTGCCAGATTCTTTGAAGGTTATAAGGAGATAGGTGAGGTTAGTAAATAAGCAGATAAACTAAGCAGATAAGTGTGGGCTCAGGCTTGTCCCTGCCTGGATGATCCCCATCATCCGCACTATCTGGCCACTCTGCAAGAAGGTAAGCACTGTAACCTATAAATTAGTTTTTGAAATTGAGTGCCACTCAATTCTAAAAAATTATGGAAAGATGCCCTGAGTCAAGTGAGGTGTGGTTTAAGTCCAAAAAGTTTGAGAACCACTGAACTAAGTAAAAAACCCCAAAACTTTTCTTGCAAATAGTTTTATAGAAACACTACTGAGAAGGATTTTATATTTGAGAAAGCAAGGTCCTGATGCTCTTTGTAAGTACAGGTGGTGAATCTGACCTATAATCCTAGCTATGGCTACAATCAGTTTATAACTTACTGGTGTCATCCAGCTTTCACACCATTATGAATCAGGAGCAAAATCGGGGGAGCTCCATTGATGTAGATTTATGTGAATGAGAGGACAATAAGGTGCTTTTAACTAACTGCAAGAGTGGGGAATTATTTGATGAGGAAGGGGATTTGTTCTGGGTTATCTCAAATTGCTGAATTTAGACCATATTTTTAAATTATATCAAGAGTTCCTAGTATATATGAATGCCTTCCCTCTTAGAATTATAAAAAAAGACAAAGCAACTGGTATGTGAGGTAGATTCTAAATTTTCAGGTCCCTGCAAACTTGGAGTGCAGTTTTGTAAACTGTTATGCATGTGAATAGTCCTTACATGAATAGGTCCTTTGAAGTTAATGAGGCTACTTGAAATAGTAAAGTTTTTCAGGATTATTTTTATTATCATTACTGATATTAGTGACAATACCATATTTACTTAAATATAAGACCGGGTTTTTTTCCCTCAGTTAGCTTGTGGGGGGAAAAAAAGCTCATAATCTTACATTTGCATACAAGGAAACCTTATTAAATACATTGTTAAAAGCAGGAGCAATGGAAGCCTACTAGAAGCTGATTAAATGCAGGCAACACTGAGCATACCTATAAAATACATGGGCCATATTGGGCAAACATCTTGATGGGAACCTTTTTTTGTGTGGCCTTTAAAATTGGGCAATTGTTCCCCCAGGAGAGAGTGAGCACTGGGTCTGGAGGTACTGCAATAACAGGCCAGTACTTGGAGAGGCTGGAGCAAACTCCAACAGCCTCCCCTGGTGCCAAAAATGTTAATAGGAACTTTTTTTGTTTTACAAATTTAATTAAAAACTCACTTACCCTACATTTACAAAACTTCACATACTGAGCATCCTTGTTTTACCAAAATTTCATATAGCAAAAACAACTACATATCTAAAAACATATAACTAGTATATTAAACCCTTAAACAACATGCATTACCTTCCCGCAAAAGAGCCCCTTACAGAACTCTTTTTCTTTATACAGAAACCCATGAAAAAATATTACCTCAGTAACCACCTAAAACTCTCTGCCCCTCCCATCAGTCCTCTTTGCTGGTTTAGTGAAACAAGTGTGTCATCCTTTTTTTCCTCCACTTTCTTGCTGACTCTTCTTCTCTGCTCTCATCCTTTTCCTAATCAGTGTAGTATTTCAGTTCATGTAGCCCCATCTTCAGGCACTCTTTCAGTGAAAGTCAACACCTTAACAAACTGGAGATTTCTTACTTTCAACAAAAGTTTTAAAACATGCTAATAAAGCCCTTAATAACGTTTCCTTTGGTCCCTTTAGCATGAGTCCATATAGTACCATCTCTTATGCTTTTTTTCTCTTTTATTTTGGTGACACTCACAAAGCAATGGACCCTCTCCCACACCCCCTTTGTATGGACACTCCCAAAACAAATGTCCTGTTGTTTCTTCTCCGTACCTCTCCCTTGAGCACCAGGATGAGCTTTCACCAGTAAGATATTTCTTACAACAATCCACATGCTAGGTCAGCAAGTTCCCCCTTTTAGTTGTTTACCTGCTACCACTCTCCACACCTTCTTCACCTGTCCTTCTGTGAAGTTTCCCGCAGGCACCATCTTGTCTCTCTCCCTTATTACTTTCATCAATTGCTTATGATCCTTCAGGACCTGCAGCCCTACCTTCCCTATTTTATACCTGTACATGAAACCTTCCATCCTGATGTAATGAATCAGTGGTTGCTACCCCCCTAGACTCTTCAAAGAGGTCTGATATACTCCGCATTTCCTCAAAATTGCTGCTGTGTGGAATCGGGTGTTATGCACTGCTTTCTCCTCTCCCTCCATCACCACCTTGCATACCATGCTTACATACTTCACATAGATGAACAATGCTAAGTCCATCAGCCTCCAACCCCACATCTCTGTTGCTTTGTACAGTTCAGATTTAGCCAAGTTTTCTCTTGCCATTCCAGAAGAACACACATATTCCCCTCTGTACTTTTACTATCTGCTGCCACGTTGGGAATACAATTTTTGTATATAGAATAATCAGCAGTAGCACAGCCTTAACAACTGCCACTTTTCTAGCAAAGGACAATGTCCTTCTGG